CTGACCCGTCGCCACGAAGTCTCTTAGGCTCCAAGAGACCGCTTTTGGGTCATTTCTGACTTGTTTTGCTTCTTGGTCCAATAACCCTTTTTCCCATATATTCATCTTCATCGACAACTAGGTTGTCTTGTTCCTTCAATCTGTTTCTGCATCAGACATTGCACCAAATCAAGATCAAGGCAGAAAAGACTGCTAAGCGAATCGAAGTTGTGCATGTGCAGGATTTGTTGAGATTGGCTGTGTTGGTCCAACGGTGGTTCTTGCACCGGGACTTTGCGAAACACCAGTGCGACTAAGTCTCTAGTCAAAGTCGACCACATCGGAGGCTGGATTGCAGACGATCCCGGTGCCTGAAGAAATTACATGGTGGCTCCTAAAGAACGTTCAGGAAGCTTAGAAGTGCCATGGCAGCGCCCGAGTCTGAGTTGTCGGCAGCGAACTTGCCGGTGGCATGGATTTTGACTTTTTGGTCCCTTAGGAGAAGCTCTTCTGCCCAACCAAGTGGGACCTGGTCAATGGGACCAACATGGACCCGGGTGTGACCCGGTGGAACCCGGATAGCTTGTGATACTGTTGGTCTTTGTGGCAACTGTGATAAACATGGAGGCCCGGAAAGTAGGCTCAAATATGAAGCCGCAAGTTCCCAAGCAATCATCTATCCCCCTTCCCCCTCAAGCAATGCTGAGACATGACGCGCAAGCGGTTGCGTGGCATGTAATCGCGTTTTGTCGTTTGATGAGGGCAGGTTTCACAGATAGAGTCAACCTCGGTTGCCATTGTGATTGATTCGGGTTGGATTTTAACCCCATCGCATGATTGCTACTGCTACGGCCATTACTATTGCTATTGCAATGGCAATTGTTATTGGCATTATGGTCTCTTTTGATCATCGCATGTTTTGCAAACGGGACCCAATGACGTTGCAGGCTTCAGATAAGTTTTCAACTCTTTTTTTCATGTGCCCGGCCGGCATTTTCTAAGATCTTGACAACGATCATTCTACCAGATAGCAATCGTGACTCGGAGATACAACAAAAAGACATCTCTAAGACACAGACTGTTTTTGATCCAACGAGACGAATGCTTGTGTATTTACAGCAAATGTCACGTGAGAGGTGCACCCGTGGCTGCAATTCAGCTCGCTCCGATAAGTGCAAAAAATATTTGAAGGTTTTCCATTTGCGCTGCAAATGAAAAGTCATGGCATCAATTTTTCGTGTGTTTTAGACTTCCTGCAGTTGCTATGCTCCGAGCATTACGACGGAATTCAAATCGAAAAACCTAGACCACATGCCCTAGAATCAGGAAGAGGTCGACGTGTGATCTTGTATCCGACGTAGTTACACCTCCCCAGTGGGCGATTTTCGTTCTGAGGCCGCGTTAACACTGCATCCTGTTTTCCCAAGCAGTGCAAGCCCGAGGTGTGACAAGGTGCCTCGAAAAAATAAAAGACGTTTTCTGTAATTGCTTTCTCCCATTCAACGGCGCATGGGGATAGCCTAGCGCCTTTCAAAAACGTCGCAAGGGGCGACAGGATCACCCGGTTTTTGCTGTTATTGGATGTGCCTCACACGACCGGCAGCAAATAGGCGCTGCAGGAAAGAATGCTAATGTGTTCAGCATTGCCTCTGTACATTTGTTGTCGTGTTGTGTGGTTCAAGCATTATGCTGTAAGCAAGGTATTATGCGGTCCAGTGGTGCGTCATCGAGCAGGTTAGCTTTATGCAGAAGGCCTCCCTGTGGATGGGTTTATGAAAAGCATATCAAAAATACTGTAGTTCGATGTATTGTAATTAATTGACTGTAGCTGTGCATGTGAATACAGACACATACAGATCAACATTTAAAGTTTTTGCATTCTTATGTTCGTGTGTATATAGTTCCACGAGTTTATATGTATATTATATAATCTGTAAATGTTTTGGCAAATAATATCTTAAGCATTGTACCAAAAACGACCATTATTGACATGATGGTGCAACCAAGCAGTCGAATTGTACTACCACATATCTGCCCATGGCCCGTTGCGGCTGCATCGGCTACACCTTCATCGCGCGCACAGTCTGCACAACGAGATCTGCCGGTCTTCAAGTAGGAGGATGCAAAGCAGGTAGTTTGCAGTCTTGCACACACATTGCTCGCACCGTTGGCCTCGAGCCCGGGAGTGGCAAGTCGAAACATCAGTGGTGTTTCTTGCCTGTTGCATCTAAGGTGGTATTGCGCAGTCTCTTTTCAGGCAGCAGCTCTTTGGCACCGCAACAGTTGCCGCAACAGTTGCAGGTTGAAGCCCGAAAAGAATAAGGAGGTTTCACATGCATCATAGATGCTGCGATGTGCATGATAGCATCTCTGAGGTCGCTGAGCGTGCTACGACGACACTCGGCCTGCAAAAAAAATTGTTGATCCTGATTTCGTGCGAGGCTCCTCGGGATTGTATTGAACGAACACCGCGGCTGCAATGAAAAATCTTCATCGTCCGCTTGTCATATTGCATCCAAAGCTCAGGTCCCTCCAGCTCGCATTGTTCGATACAAGCGCGAATGGCTGGGGCGCAGGAACCTACGAGGTTTGGAATGTTACTCAGGGAGCCTTGGCTGCATTCGGCTTTAACGCAAGCTCAACTTGCATGCATGTGCTTGTCCGTACATTGCGTGCCTGCATGCATGCGTGACCTCCCCAAGCTCAAAACTGCATGAAGCCATCCCTCTGCAGCATCGAAGCCTTTGATTCTGAGCTTGCATGCTTCGTTAAGACAGCAACGTTTCCACGGAGATAGTCGTTGTGATGACCGGTGACGCTGTCAACGGAGTCTTGGCCAGATAGAAGTGGGTGGGTGCAATTTCCGGGCTGTGAGGCGGACAGGATCAGAGTATGAGGAGTGAGGGGAGCAGCAGAGCAAAGCTCTGCCCTTTGTCAGCCACTAAGTCATGAGCGGCACCGGATGGGCATCATGAATGCATGAGCCTTCTCACAATCCCAAGAAGGTGTTTGTGCGTTTTTGGTCATGCCACCCTGGAATTGCCCAGGATGGTGGGGCGGCTCTTTCGAGATCACGGACCCGGAAGGAGCCTCGACAGCTTTGGGAAAGGAGTAGGCGGGTGGCTGGCAGCGTGGGCAGCAGCATAACATCTGCAGTACACGAGTAAATTCATCTTCCCGAATCCTGGACCTAAAACGAAAATGCGTCAGAATGGGGTCAGAATGGGCAGTGCCTGCGAGGTACCTCGCTGAAAACTGGAGGTCTAGTCAGCGGAGGTGGACCGGAGGAGGTGCCGAGCCTCCACTTCTGCCGCTGCTTGTACGTCTCGGTGCTGTGCCAGTAGACGCCGCCGTCTGCTAGTATGTACCCATGTTGGTGGCTGGTGGCAATTGATTTTTCCGCAGTTCAGTGAGATTCAGTGAAGTTCATTGAGCTCTGAGGTCTCGGTGGGCTTTTTCGTGTCCGGAACTGGGCTGAGACCTGGCATCACTTCGTGGTCGAAAATAGTAGATTCTGGTAAATCTTAGTTCGTTTGGCCAAAACGTAGCAGCCTAAGCCAGGGTTGTGATGCATGAGCCCGGCCTGCACCTGATTAAGCATTCAAGCGACGGACCGATCACAGCCCTGCTTCTTCAAGGAACCTCACGGTCACTCAAGGCCGCTTGCTTGAAAGCTTCTGGAGATCTCAGGCAAACTTGGGAGTTGGAGCTTCGTAAATACGAATGCGGGGATTGTGTTGTGGTGATGATGTCCTTCGCGCCTGTCTCTCTCTGTGCTAAGCCCGGAGCCGAAGATGGGTAACTCGAAGTCTTGGATCCTCCATGCCCTTCCGGTGCTTTTCTATGGACTTAGGTAGTGAGACTACCGATGTCGGCTGGGCATCTTGAAGCAATAGCAGCAATGGCATGTGTTTTGCGGGAGCATCCGGCAGCTTCGGTGTGTGTGAAAATGTGAGCACAGAGCTTGTGGCTACTGTTGTCTGTCATTGACACCTGGAGTATGATCGGCCGAGGCTGTAAAGTGCAAGAGTTGCAAGCCGACAGAGAGCGATCCGATCGATGCTCCCATCTTGGAGTTCAGAAGCACGGACGCCGCCGAATCGCAGTTTCCGACCGGCAGGGTCTTTTATGTGCCAGGCGGTGCTGTGCTCACAGCTTTACATTGTGTTTCAAGCAGCACTGTGCCAATTGGTCGTGACAGCTTGACATTCAAGTGCTCACCAGAGTGTCGGGGCTGCAGGTCGAGAGGTTTGCAGTGGTTACACGGCTACCCAGTGAAAAGGGACTTCCTCCTTTCTGCTTGCTGCACTGCCTCTGTTTGCCGTCAGGCGGGTATGTTGACGGGGGAACGCTGGAATCTGGCAGCGGTGCCGTGTATCTCCTCCCGTCGGTGCGGAGAGGAGACATGCTGTGCCACGGCCGCAAGAGGCTTCGTACCGAATCAAAAGCAGCATGCTGCTCACCCCACCAGCTAGCAGTGCCGGACCTTGGTTCTTGGCTTTTCGTCTTCGGATTAGTTGTGGCTGGGGTTGGGGGAGAGTGCGAGAGATGGCACAAGCAGAAATGGAAGCTGTGTGGAACTCTTGCAGGGCGCACTCCGTCCATCCCGGATGCCTGGCACTGCTAATATACGTGAAGAATCAAGGAGTTGAATTGGAATTGGACTGGCTTATCGCTTCGCAGGTTTGTATGTATGGGATCCCACCAGTGGTAACACGGCAATGGATTCCCAGCTTTCTCCGACTCTTGAGGAACAGCAGCTGATGCTTCGCAGATCAGCTATGACGCTTGCCTTGACCGTTCTCGTGAAGCCATGGTCCATAATCACTGAGTCCTTCACCTTTGCAAGAGTGCAGTCTGGTGCAGCCAAGGCGGTGAGAGAGGAAGACTGGACCGTCATCTTCTCCGTGGAAGATGCTTGCCTGCGCCTGCTTGCTTTGCGCACCCTTCGGTAGAGAGGCTTGTCCTGTCCGATCCTGGGTCTGGAGGATGGCGAAGCGTACGAGACGAAGTTCCCGCAGATGCACCGCTTTGAGGTGAAAGGCGGCAGATATGTCGAGTCGATAGAACGGGCAGTGGCCACCTCAATCCTTTGCGTTCGCAATGACTGTAAGCTATTCCGAAGGCCCCGGCGTGTGCACGCAGAGCTTTGCCGCTCGGGCATGAAACGTGGCGGGGTGAGAAGCGCGGATCTGGGCCTAGGCTTCGGCTTCATCTGAACTTGAGATGCCTTAACCAGGTCGACTCCATCAGCCCAGCCACGTGGCCAACTAACTTCGGGGACCCAAAGAGTCTCGGCCGGTTGGGATGCGCAGCAGAGCACTGCAGAGTCGTTAAGTCGTTAAGGGCTCCCAAAGTCCGGGAAGTGCAATGAGGAACTTGGTCCTCGCTGCAGATTACGTCTATTTTGCACCTCGTCTGATTGTCCGAATGCTTTCGCATGGTCGGGGTTCAGCAAGCCACACGGCAAAACCATGGGTTCAGACTTTCGGTTGGAGATGCTTACCAACATGACTCTTGTAAGGTGCCTGATGCTGGCAGCACGACCCTGTTCCGTGCAGATGTTGCTACCATGACTCAGGCTTTGTCGAGCACTTCTCTGAACTGTACATGAAGATTAGAAATTGATCTGCCCGGGCCAGGTTCAGGAATTGAGTGTTGGCGCAAGCTTCTCCTCCGGGTTTACAGATCGAGACGGGGCATATGTGTACCTGGTACCGGACAGTGCCCTGGAGGAGAGGTAATTTTGCTTGTTTTTTTTCGGCAGCGTGGTCCACAGCTCGGAAATTTCCTGCTGAGGTTCCGGTTATGCCTTCAAGCGTGTTGCAACTAGCACGTTCGATGCGACGGAGACTGCGGAATTGGAGCACACGAGCGGGTTGCAAAAAGCCGATATGCTTGTTTGACCAAGTGGTTCACTGCTGCTGCAGTAACCTCTGTGACACCTCATCTGACGGCAGGAGCTTCATGGGTGGTTTTGTCGCCGGCGAGTTTGTGCGGCTTGTTTGTGTTAGAGCTTCGAGGGCACAAGTGGAGGAATCTGTCTTGTTGAAAGGATGCTCCCCACAGTCTTTTTGTGATCCGTTCTGTGGCAGTTGGTCTTTGGTCGTGCCACTATTCGATTGCGCTTTCAAACGTGCTTCTGAAGGCGGACCTTGAGGCTTCGGTTAGGTTGTGCTGTCACCGTTGAGCTTCTGTCCAGAAGCGTGTGACTCGGGGAACGAGCCTTCTCTCAGGTACGTGATGCCAGGAACCTTCGCGCATGGTGTGATCTACAGGGTGGATATCGAGGGGTTTTCAACCGTGAGCCGGCTCTACCTGACGTCTGTCGACCCTTGATGATTGTTATTGATCTGGCTTGCAGTACAGCCCGGTCAGATCTCTGCAGGAGTGATCTCTGTCTTAGAGATTTGGCTGACATGGCAAGGATTCGAGCCTCAGGGACTTTTCTGGCGGATTCCACAGTGGAGAGTGGGGCTTCTTGCGCTGCAGAAAGACAGAATACCACCCTCACATCAAATTCAGTGCGGAACCCTCTAAACCCTACTGTATGCGGGCCCATCCAGCTTCTTTGCCGGTTGTCCGGAAGCGCAAGTCAGGTTACTTGGTGCCATTGCAGGACGTTGGGTGCAGTTTTTATCGGCTTTCGCGCAAGAATCTGTTCGGAGCAGTGCTCGCCGGACGTTGTTCCAAGGGCCAGGGCCTCTTTGCTGCTCTTTGGTTCAGTTGTCAAGACACATTGTCGATTGCCATGTGGCTGCACGCATTTACGGAATCTATGTTCGTCGCAGTTCATGCAGGACAACGCCAATGCCCCGAGCAGCAAGGTGGTCCGCTTCAAGCTGGCAACCTTCTCTACGCAAGACGTGGCGACCTTGTTGAACTTACGTTGGTGATAATCAATTAGATTTTCCTGCTAAAAGCCTTGGATAAGAATGATAAGAAGCATCTGAGAGGAAATTCTCCAGCTGTCGACGTCTGGCGGCTTCATTGCTGGGTTTCAGGACTGTGGCATGGTGCTGTTTCGGCCTCGAACGGGTATCCTTTGCGTCGACGGAAACCATATCACCTTGCACTCCTGGCATCTACATCGCAGGATGGAAGATATGGCTACCTGGTTGGCAAAACCAGTGTTGTGCTCAGTTTTAGACGAAATCATCTGCTCTGTGCGTTTGAGTGTTTCCGTGGTGCGGTCGAATGACTTGTTACGTGAGTGCAGCTCGTTTGATGCTGCAAACCCTAAGGTCAGGAACTCGTCCGATTCAGGCATGCCATCCTTGTTTCAAGGATTTGAAGGGTTGGATGACTGACGCTTCAGCTGTTGATTTAACGATTCTTTTCAGGATCGCCCTTTGGGTAAGGGGAGACGTGAGAGATCTCATCTTGCAACGATCGGGAGTTGAAGTAATGCACTTTAACGACTTGCATGAGTGGAGTTGCAGCCTTGCGACACTAGCTTACGAATAGCGGGTAGGGGGGGGGGGGGGTGTAAAATGGTGCAAAGCATCTTCTCAAGCATTCGTCGTAGGTATCGGCGGAGAAATAGACAAAGAACACATGAAACAAAGGTCACAGTGCATGTGCAGCGTTGAGATTCTAGCTTGGCCGGGGCAGCTCGCATGTTTGGAGCTTTGTCGTCGGGTCAATGCCAGGTTGGACATATTCGGTGATGATGAAGCTTTGTCCTTGCTGCTTGCCTCATCAGCACGGTCGATTTCAGTTACAACGCATGGTGGTTTCATCACTCGAACCTTTGTTCTTGTTGCCAAGATCTGGAGAGCTCTCCGGCAATGAGATTAGTGGAGCTTTGAAGGTGGGCGAGTCTTTGCTTCAATATGCTTCAATCTATCACTGCCGAAGCTTACTTCAAGTCTTGACGGTGGAGGTGGGTGACTATGCATACGTCTTGGCGAAAGACGGCAAAGTCGCCGCAGCCTCAGCCGTCTTTCTGGGCTGTCGCACGTTCCTCGGTGCCTTCCCAGAGCCATGGTCAACAGGGCATGATGACACGTCATGCACCAAGGTGCATGTGGAGCTGGCCACCTTCAGCGCTGTCGATGTCTTCGATGTAAACGGCGGCTCTGATGCCCCTCGCCCCGCTGTGATGGCCGGTGGCAGGATCATCATTCGACGCACGGGGACTTCCGCAGGAGTTGCGACCTTCGACAGGATTTGCCAGGACCGGCCGGTTCAGAGGGCGTGAAGCTAAGTTCAGCTGCTTCGCACCTGCCATCTGCCCATGTACCGGAATACTACTGACACGCAAGCCTGCGAAATCGGTTGACAATTTCTTGCTCAGCGCAGTCTTAGATGTTCTGGCAGGACTGGAGGTGACTCGGACTTCGGACTGAGAAGCACGGTCTTTGCAAGCACGGTGCTTCTGCACCAGAAGCTGGTCTCGGCCTGGCACGTTGAGATGTGAATCGGCCACGGCGAGCGCCGAGGCACCGGCAGCACACCCTCCGAGCTGCGTGCCAGCAGGAGGCGACCTTTGCCTGCACTCGCACCTGTGTGGGAGATGTCGTAGGCCTCCCTGTGAGGTGTCCGGCTACACGATGGAAGAGCCAGCAGAGTTCGATTATTCAAGCTTCACAAGTGCCTTTACGGACGACAAGTATGTTTATTTCTTCCGCGACACGCAGCTACGATGCAAAGGGAATGGATCGTCTTGCAAAGTCCGTTCACACTGCCTCTGTTCAGGCTCGGGCTCTTCCGCTCGGAGCTTCTTCTTGACAGCGCGGGCCTGCTTCCAAGCCAGAAGATGACTTTACCCGAGGCTGCCCTGCGATGTAAGCCCCAAGAGGTTTCCCCCGTGATGTCTTGTACGCACCGCAGGGTGTCCAGAACCAGGGCTACTTCGGAGGCGTCTTTCCTGCAAGGGTCCCTGCAAAGCTTGTTTCTCGAAAGCCTCATTCTTGAATCCTAATCCCGGTTCCAAGATGGTCGTGCGCTCGCTGGGACCGAGGTTTCGTGGATGGCAACTATGGCTATCTGCTGCCTTCCACGAACCATGCGGCAGCTCGGCAGTGCAGAATGATTGCTGTAACTGCAGACTGTATAGCCGTGTGTCACTGCACTCAGATCGTCCTGCGATTTCGGCTGGAGACCTTTACTTTCGTCGATTCTCTGAACCTGGCGGACTCCTTTCCCTTCCCCCACGCGCTAGTCAATTGGTGGGGCTCGGCTCCGAGCGATTTCATGGATACCTGACCAGGGGCGGGTGTTTGGAGCCCAGGTGGCTTCATTTACGAAGACCAGGGCTACCTCCTTCCCAACGAAAAGGGCGCCCACGGTTGCAAAAGATCACCGGTAGCAAAACAAGAGCAGAGACAAGCACCCGAAACGTGTTTGTTGCTCTTCAGAGCCTTTTCGCAAAATTCCGCGAGCTGGGAAGTCGTTTCGTGCAGGTGTGCTTGTAAGATTCAATTTGGCCAACTTCAACACCAACACCCGGTACTTCATCGACTTTTCTGAGCTGGATGCGGAATTAAAGACGCTTGGGCTCACTCTGCACACATTTGCAGACATCTGCTGTCTGTTTGAGACAGCAGGCGTGTCTACTTGTCTCAGGTCCTTTAGAGCAGCAGTCTTGCACGGCCACTTGGCTAAGCATTCACTTGTAGGTACTGCATCAGATGGTGCTCCACTCCGCAGTCGGAGTCTGGAGTGCGGAGTGCCCAGAAGCTGGCCTCGAGACCCCGCTAGCAGAGGTACGGACGCATACGTGGTGCCGCACGAGGTCCCTGCAACCAGCATGGGCGTGTGCAAGGCTCTGTGGGAGGGGTCAGACTGCAGTTGTGTTAATTCTGTCAACCTCGTGCTCTTCATAGATTGTACTTTAGTACTTTGTGCATTCTGCAGGTGGTGAGGCTTAACCTCGATGTGCTCGAGTCAAGCTGGCCTTCTTCCCTGACAATTTGGGACATCTCAGGCGCAGGGTCGGGTTTTCGGGAGTTATGACCGTCGAGCTTGGGCCCTGAAGCTTCGAGTCCCGTCAAAGGCCCAAGGGGCCTCGGCATGGCTCCGACTCTGAAAAACCCCGACTCGCCCAGGCTGGGCAGACGCAGGAGATGGCAACACTTACTGCGGAGGCTGGCGGCGTGCTTGAGCCGCTCTCTCGCTCGCAGTCTCATGCAGTCTCATGCAGTCTCTGTGTCTCACGGCATTCGTCGCATCAGGTTGGGGCCAGGGCTTCAGCGATGGGTTCACAGACGGCACCTTCGTGTACATGCTGCCAGGCGCGGTCGTCATGACATGCATTGCTTGTCGAGATAAACTTTGCAAGAGCTTCTGCATTTTCATGGGTTGGAAGATGGGACGTGAAGAAGGATTCCAGCCAATCCATACAATGATGGAGGCTCTTCGGGCCAGCACCTGGCTCGTTTCGCCTTCGATGACTTCGGCAGTGCCGCAGAATCTTCTCCAGAGGCTTTGGTTTGGGTGGTGCCAGCCTTGGTAGACCATGTGAATGACTTTTTGAGTTCCTGTGTGCGGCCTGTACCTTCCAGATCCCTGCAGAAAGAAAGGCTGTGGCGACGTCGTCCTACGACGGCCTCGCAGGTGACACCGAGATAGACAGTGAGAGGGGACTCCAGGGGACATCGTCAAGAGAAGTCGCGCAGCTTTCTTTCTACAAACGAGGTTTCGATCTTCGCTTTTTTCTGCTGCAGGCTTTGCTGGCACAAGCTCGGCGTACTTGGTGCAGAAGTTTTCCAGCAAGATCTCGAAGCTGGATCTCCAAAGTGCAACAGTCACGGACACTGTGGATGTCAACCAGGCTGCTCCGGGAGTTGCGCCGGTCGAATCTGGGTGACCCTCGAAACGTGATGCTTGCACTAAGCGCTCCGGAGTTCTCACATTGACATAGTGGAGCCAGGGATCTGAATCCCAAAGCCCTGCTGCTGCTAAAGCCAGAGAGCAAGCCGTGCCCATGCCATATCTCATATGTCTGGCACCTGTAGATGCAGTAGATGTTGTGCCCGGAGGTCGACTCCATGGCGTGGGACTCGGACTTCGCTGGGTTTTTGCCGTTGGGATGGTGCCAACTTTATCTTTGACAGAAGTTTCTTCTGCAGTACCGTTAAGAGCGCTGTGAAACGGAGCCGGAGCTGGTCGTGAGTAGGGCTAAAGCTCCGAGATCCGTAAACGTAGAGTGCTAAGGGTGAATGAGCTTGCCGTCACCATTTAGTATCATTTGGTTACCGAGACGTGTATCTTTAGTGTGCGGCCGCAGTAGATGTCCCAATGCACTCCCTGCTTGATGCACAGGTATATGGGTTCTACGCAGCAACTTCCAGCCACTCAGATGTTCTCCTTTTCACGGACACTGACTACAAGAAGCTCTTTCGGGTGTGCCAGGATCATGGGACACGTGTTTGCACGCTGAACCTGCAAATGACTGACAAGAGTAGTGGTGGTGGCTCAAGGGTTTTCTCCGAGTCCTGCCTGTGCGAAGGACTATCTGAAGCTTGTTTGCACCAGGGGGTGGCTGACAGATGCCTGGGGTTTGAATATCACTCCGATGTGATGCTTCCGGTGTGCAAGTGGCTCCGTCGCTTGCAAACACAGCTGGCTCAGTTCGCTAGATCAAGGTAGTTGCTGAGCTCGAAGCTTTCAGCCGAGGCCGCCGGATTACTGCAGCGGCGTGACTTGTCGGCGATTCTCTGGACTGTGCAAGTGCGCCAAGCAAGGCGACATGAGGGAAACTGAAGTGATCCGCTGTTGGGCTTTGCTGCCCAGGTTTCCGTAAAGAGTATCGCATATTCGAACAATGACTACACGGGGCTGAACAGCAACTCGGCAGTGGTCTTGACATCGGTTGGCAGCGACTACTGAATGCCGAGATAGGATGTGTTGAGACGATTCTGAGGTGGCTTTTCCGACGACACATACATCTACCTCGTGCCGCATCAACGTTCCGTGCTGTTTCGCTATGCTCCCTGGCTTCAGCGGGTTTCAGTATGAATCTGCTGTAGGCTACATACAAGCCATGAAGATTGTGATGCGCGCACACGCAGTCGATCTAGCTGCTAGCTTGCATGTCTTGGCACTTGATCTGTGTCGGCTTGCCTTGCCCGGGGCCGGGGCCCGTGTTCTCTGACCGAAGCTGGCTCTGAACGAGCGATCTGCATTATTCGTGTGACATCTTGCAAAATCAACCTTGAGGCTCAGCCGCAGTGATGACCTGTAGCTGTAGCCTGAGGACCGGCAGAACACGGTGTCCTACGTCGACCTGCCCACCAGCCAGGCCTACAGCGGAGGTACGCAATGGAGCTGCCTGAGGACTGAGCTGTTTCAGTCTTTGTCCAAACTGGAACCTTGCAGGCTTCGCCCATGGAAACTATGCATACCTCGTCCCTGGTTCCGGTAACAAGCTGCTTCTCCGTATCAACTTGCTCGAGTGGCATCCCTCGTTTCTTGGCTCTGTGATCTTGGGGTTGGGGATCTCTGTGCCCTGAAGTCTTGTCTTCTGGCGGGCACAGGTTTGTGGACAGCTCAGACTTGTCGTTGGTGTCTTCGAACTTGACACTTGGCTTGTCAGCATGCGTGGTGGTGTGGCTACCGTTGAATTTATTGCAGAGACTGTGCTTGTCAACCGAAGATGATGGGAGCCGTAGACCCTTCCCTGCAGAGCCTGCAGAGGCTTGAAAGCCTCACACGCATGATGAAACCGCAGGCAAAGCTTCTATGGTGGCTTCCATGACGACACCTACGGCTACCTTGTGTCGTGTCTGAGAGATCACTAAGAACATCCGACCGACCGCGACCATGTCAGCTCCACAGACTACCTGGGCTGATGTTTGTCGCGCTGAGGTTCCTGGAGAGTATGGCCAAGTTGCCCGCTTCCAGCTTGGAGACAGCTTCGGAGATATTCAGGTGCTAGATATCACTGCGATACAGAACGCAGCTGGGACTTGTGAGAGCTTTCTAGATCTTCGGGCCGGGGCGCCACTGGAAGTCTGTTTGGATCTGAGATCCCAGGAGCTGCGGAAGTTCAGGAATGGGTTCTCCGACGGTGGCCCGGCAGTCCAAATGAAGCTTGGTCCAGTGGTCAAAGGCTTCGCGCCGGTCTGAGGCACCTGGGGATACCTGGTGCCTTATCAGACGAGTTCAAACTCTGCGTCTGGGAAGGTCGTGCGTTTTGACCTTGCCACTCAGCGAAGATCTCATGAAGAGCTTCGCAAAGCCAACTTGAAGCCCAACTCAGGCGACTTTCAGCACCGTAGAAGTCCTCGACGTTGCATCATCGAATTCCAATGCTGTGGCCGGGTGCTTGGAAACCTGGACCCGTGGCACAGCCGAAGCAGTGCCCAACCCCCAAGAGCAGGCGTTTAACGACGGCTTCCACGACGGCACATACGGTCCCGTCCTCATGGCATACGAGCACCAAAATCGCAATGTCGAAGTGCATCTCAACGCGGAACCATGTAGCCCAATCGGTTGCACTCGGCCTCAAGGTTACCTGGTTCCTGGCCAGAATGGAATAATCGCGCGATTCTCACTGGGAGACTTCACCTCAGAGAACGTGCAGTACCTGGATGCATCTGCGGCAGGCCCGCCCCTGGAGTCTGCATTGATCTGCATTGCTCTCTTTTGTGGTTACCTTTGAAAGGCACCAGCTACGTGGCCGGCTTCCAGAGGGGTCACAGCGGCTACGTTGCAGCTCGGGCCGGTGAAGTTGAGCAGGGGAAACCTGTTGCTGCAAGGGGGGGGGGGGCTAAGGCCTCAGAGAGCGGCAACGTCTTCAAGTTCAACCTCGGCCAGTTCTCAGCTGTCGCCACTCAGGCATCCTGCAGAGTCTGCTTGTCTGCAGAGCCGCCTTTGCTCCAGAGCAGGACTTGCAGACCACCTTGTACGACATGGTCATGGTGCAGGGCCAGTTCTACGCCCTGTCTTCGTCAGGCCACCCGTCTCCAATAGTCCACAAGAAGATATTTGCGAAGCAGTCGTGGGCTTTGTTGCTTGCAATCTCGAATGGTTACACTCCTCCCCTCTGCTCACTCGTCCTGGCAGCCAAGATTTTCGGCAGTTCATCCGCTATTGCGAGGAGCCGACAGAGATCAAGCCAGAGTCAAGCAATTCCATTGCTAAGTTCGTTGAAGCTTGTGCCTTGCTGTGAAAACCCGTGTCTCGGTAGGACGAGCACCTCGGCTTGGCAGCGAGAGAGCCTTTCACTTCCTCCTCCCTTTTTGGAGCTGTGCCCTGAAGCTCTGCATAGCTCTGAAGCACTTGGCCCCTCCTTCCCAGGCCCTTTGTGCAAGTGAGCCGGGCTCCTTGCCAGGAGGGCCAGGAATTGCAGTCCCTTTGCTGCAATGGCAGGGCTACGATTTCATTTCTGGAGCAATGGAAGCCCAGGAACTACAGCGATGTGCTGCCGATGTCCGTGTCCAGCATCGGCGGTGCGACGCGGCTTCATTCGGAACTCCTTCATACCGGTTCGCGGAGCTGGTCAGCTGTCGAGGTCTTCAGCGATGGCCTCTACCTGTACACCTTACCAATGTCATTTCTCGAGGTACGGCTCGAAGCCCGAAGCCGGAGTCATGAAGTGGTGCAGCATCAGATCCAACCACGCCCAGTGTTACATAAGACCGCTGTGACAGGTACACCGCTTCGACTTAGCGACATTTCAGATCTATCAGAAGTTGGACCTCTCCAGTCGTAACCTCGACCGCAAAACAAGGTGTCGTTCACTCAGGGTGTAGTAAGATAATCTGCTCGTGGCCGGCGGGGCATGTACTGTTGCCCCCCCTCTTTCGCTGTTACGCTTGAAACCTCATTGAGGGAATCAGTCCCGCACTTCGTGTCGAATTTGCATCGCAGCAGCGTAACACGCAGCCGTTCCAGTGTTTAGCAGTTTAGCATGCTGCCAGCTAGCCCGACTCGAACCGGGTTAAGGCGCCCCCTTTTAAACTGGAGGATCCCTATGGAGGAGTCGAAATAGGATTATCCTCTCTTCCTCTAGGTTTGGGGGGTGGAGTGGGATCAGAAATCGAAGGAAAGAAGATTTTCAGACTTTTGGATGTCGGTCATCTGAATCCAGCGCACGCGCATTCTCTACACGTTTGTTGAAGTAATTTGACGTTGGATTTGCCGGGTGGTCATGAAGGAGGTCGGGGGGGTTTGGTTTCGGTCGCCCTTTGTCCCTTGTGCCGAAGAGAAGCCCGAAGTCCACCCTCCGTTTCCTCGAGTTTTGGGCTTCGCGGGACACTTTGCAGGGAGCCAGGGCCTGCCTTCGTGTCCAAGAGAGCTACGTCCCATCTTCCCCGTCTCCGTTTCTCATCCTGTACAGGAGCCGGCTTGGTTATCGCCTGCGCTATAATCCTGCCACGCTGGCTCTCCGAGCCTTCTAGCTTTGTCGCTCCAGGACAGTTTCCAAACCCCCCCCCCCAGCGAGGACGTTATGTTGGTGACACTCCAAAAACTAGTTTTCTATAAGACCCTTCGCCGACTCCGCCCTGTAAAACTGGGTACTGTAACGTACTGTTCACCTTCACCCTCGTGCGTTTTCAGTTCCAGTGTCATGCTGATAGTCGACGGATGGGGACGCGAGCCTGAAAAACTGAGTTGGCCTCCAGACCTACACTTACTCAGCCGGCCTCACTGACGGTGCCTTCGGCCTCTCGGACCGTGTTTCAGGAGCTCCAGGCCCTATAAGAATGGCCAAACACGATCTCGGGGCTGCTTTTTTTGTGCTTTCAGCATGTTTTCGAACAGGCCAGAGACTGAAAGTTGTCGTCAAAGCCTCGAGGATACTTGATTCCCGGAAGTGGCGGCTCACAAGTGGTCCGCTTTGATCTGGCCGCCTTGCCGCAGTGGGCCACCGATGCTCAAGCATGGAGTCACCGAAACTTGAGGCCAGCTTCGCGGGTTCTGCAGCGGAAGTGCAAGACCTGGCTCAGGCGGAATGCGAAACTAAGAAGTAGCACTGCACTGCAGAGTCGAAGATTCTAGGATTTGACCTCTTTTGTTGTCGAGCCTGAGCTTGCAGGTCAACTCCAGCCTGACAGGCTTTTCCGGCGGCTTTCTCGTTGGCAGCAGCCTTTATCTGGTGCCTCAGGACTGGAAGCTCGAAGATGTAGGTTAGGCCCTTTAGGCGTGCCAACTGCACCCAGCTGCAGCATCAGGAGTCAGGCCACTTCGTACGTATCGATGACTGGAGCCACTTGGGAGCAGGAAAGAACTGTTGAGGGGAGTGAGGGAACGCAGCCCTTCTGCAGATCCGTGCGCCAAAACTCTGCAGGCAGCGTGACGTCTTTGTCCCTGACGAGCACAGATGCCGACCTGGTAAACCTGAGACCAGGGTTCGTCGACACTCTGCACAGAATTATAAGGGGAAAAAGGCTTTCAGACTTTGTCCATCTCCCAAGCCGACATGCTGCATCTGCTTCCTCGTTCTCGCGTGCTCAAGGAACTCGACGCCTCCTTCGCCTTCCTTGCCTCCTACCAAGACGCCTCGTACCAAAACACCGGCAAGATCGTGAAAATTAGTCTCAGCTCCTTTTCTGTTGACACACGGCTGCAGCGAAGCTCCTCGTGTGGCGTTTCGCGCTGTTCTGTAACGTCACAGTGCTTTGCCTGCTTTGGGCAAGGACTCAGTCCTCGACTTGAAGAACGTGTCGTCCGACTACGTCGCATTTTCTGCCACCTTCTCCGAGAATTTCGGAGGCCGGGTGCCCAGCCTCGACTGAAACCTGCACCCCTGAAGAATCACGCAGGCTACTCTGGGTTTGCTCTGTGCAGCATGACCCCAAAAGTCATCCGCTACGCCCTGGGGACCATGGCTCTCCTGGAAGAGAAGGACTTCACCGAACACAGGACCGACTTCCGACGGCTCTTCGCCTGCCCGTATCTGCCCACCCTGCGAGTTTCACCGGGTTCGCGCACGGCGCCCACGACGGGACCTATGGATACTTGGCCTCGGTGCCCTGGCTCAGTATCTGGCAGACGGAACATGTCAGAAGAGTTGCCATGAGAGCTGAGAGCTTGGAATGGGTTGAAGTGGGACTTACTCGAGGACGCTGCACAATTCCTTTGGCTTGGGCTCAATTTAGTGCATGTCCCGCAAGGCTCATTGCGAAAGTTATCCTAGGGCAAGTTTTTCGACAACCGTCGAAGGCTAAATCGTTTGCGTTCGACAGGCGTCGACAAGACTTCGGAGAGTTGCGGTAGTCTTTGCTCCCGTTGGCAAGGATAGCTCGGCCAAACTCGTGCAGTTCAATTGGCAAGAAAATCTGTTCGCGGTCATCGATGCGAGCAACACCGGTGCATACGGTTTCCTGGCGGACCAAAGTCGTAGCAACTATCCGGCAGTTTCCGAAGCCTAAGTTTTGCAGAATGCTCTTGGTCCCAGGCTTCAACAGCTTCGCACTAACTGCTCCGGACGTTTACTTGGGATCTAGCAGCGATTATCGAAGCTTCTACCGCAAGTGCCCGCAGGAGCCAGAGCTCACTCATTGCAACATCTGGGTTCTAGGTCTAGTGCTGCTACACATGCGAACCCGCAGGAGCTGTCGGTGACGCCCGCCCGGCAAAGCTTCCATGGGCACATTGAGCATGAACCATGTGCCCCTCACAGGACGTACTAATGTTCGTATGACAGGACGACAGCGACAGTGACACGGAGCACCTCTGAAACGCCACCCCTGCGCAGCTTTTCAAAGTGTCGGCTTCGTCGCATGAGCTGTCCGACATGGCAGGTCGACCTCCGTGACAGCCACGGGAACATCTGCGACAGAGACATCAACCTTCTCGCCGCCCCTGCGAAACTTTGGACAGAACTGCGGGCTGCTGCGTTGCGAGAGTGGGCGGATTGGTGCCAGTGCCATGAGCTCTCAGACTTTGGCAGGTCAACCTCCGTGACAGCAACGGGAACATCTGCGACAGAGACATCAACCTTCTTCGAGACGCCGCCCCTGCGAAGCTTTGGACAGAACTGCGGGCGGCTGCGTTGCGAGAGTGGACAGATTGGTGCCAGTGCCGTGAGCTCTCGGACTTTGGCAGGTCGACCTCTACAGGAACAAGGCAGGACCCAACGACGACAACATCGACGACAGCAACAGCTACTCACACCGCAAGAGCGGCAACCGTGACATCATCCACGACAACAGCTTCTGCAAACGCGGTTGAAACCAACGGCAGCCAGTGCAGCCAGGCGGCGGAACGTCTCTAGGAAGATCTGTAGAGTTTTGCTGGATCACCGGTCGCTCACGATGCCCCAGTGCTTGTGCTGCCAGGGCAATCTAAGCTACACGCACTACCTCTTCGATGCTGAGGCTTGAGTCTCAAGAGGGACGTGAGACCTCCCGAGCGATCTCCCGCGGTCATGCGTGTGTCTGATGCAAGGCAGACATCCCAAGACTTCTGGGTGCTGGGCCCTCTGGCTTGTTCACAGATGCGGTGTCCATGAACATCTTCTCCGAGGATGATTCGGGGTTACCAAGATGGCCAGTGGCAGGGTGACCCGTTTTCAGTGTGGCAGTTGTAGCTCCTACCTTTGCTTTTTCATGCGCGGGGTGCTTGCGATGGTGTGTGGTATGGTCGTCGCGGGAGGACTCTGCTGTGGTGGTCCGCTGCTTGGCTGGAAGCATGATTTCGGCATATCTCGGCCTGCATCCCAACCGGTGCTATATGCAACCTGTTGTACCCAGCTGAACTGTGGGTGTTTAGTACAGGAAGGGGGATAGCGCCGCAGACTAACTTCACTGGCGTGGACCTCGCGCAGGCCAGGGTCCACAGCATTCGGCAGCCCGTCGGGGGCATCGTGAGAACTGTCGCTGGCAGGGTGGGCTCTTCAGCGGCTTCCGGGCCGGGTTCTTCGCCGCGGATCTGGCGGTGCTCGTTCCCCGGGACTCCAGCCCGGCAGCCCAGTGACAGCAGAAGGGGGCTGTGCATTACTGGAGCCGGCAGGCTGGGTGGCGGGCTTCAATGTGTCCAACGCGGAGAACACGATTTCTTTGAGCCCGGGCGGAGGGGTCTCTGTTCTTCCTCTCCGCTCCTCTCTGTTTCTCTATGGCAAGGTGCAAGTTCAAGTTCGGTGTGACCTTTTCGCTCTTGAGCCTCGCCTCTTGAAAGGAATCTTCTGAACCACTCTGCAGAGCTGACCAACTTCACTGGTGGCTTCGCCGCAAAGGCTTGGGCCTTCTTGGTGCCTTTGCGGCAGAGCGGAGACGTGTCATCCCGTGTCATCCTTCCGCCTCTGAGGTGCCTGCGTACTTTGGTCGAATTCCACGGCTACGAGCGGATGACCTGACATTCAGTGGAAGCTTCTTTGCCGAACAGAGCAGCGAGAACGGGAGCACGGCCCTTTGTGGTCATGTTCACTCTGGTTAATGACGGTTAATGTGTGACGAAGACATTGAGCTCCTTACATGGCCAAGTCCGGTGCAGGTGTGGACCTGACTGAAACTTCTCCGGATCTTCACGTTACTTGGCGTTCTATGGCGAAAGCGGTCGTGCTGTGACGTGGTGAGCTGATGTCGGGTTGGTGAGCAGAGGTGTTCTCCAGCGGATTCTTTGTGGACGGTTACGGCTTCTTGGTGCCGCACTCCTCGAGGGATGGAAGCCCCTTGGGCAAGGTCGTGCCTGGGCTAATGGAGCCGAGCCCCGTGCCGAGCTCCGCAGAATGGGTTAAAGAGCACAGAGCCGCGGAAGGTGCGCTTCCATGTGGACACTTTGGAAGTGGAGCTCCTGGACCTGGCCAGCCTCAATGAGAGCCGTGGCCGCAGCGAGTTGTGTGGTGCTAATTGCTACCTTGCCGGCCCGTGGCTGTAGACAGAGCTGGTGCGTCCAGGAACTTGGCAGGATTCCATAGTGGTATCGAGCGAGGCGAGGCCTGTCCTTCCGCGGCTGTTACAGTCGTAGCAGGTGCAGGAGGACGAAGAGGATCAGGAGCAGTAGGAGCAGCAGGAGGAGGAGTAGGAGGAGCAGGGGCATGAGCGTTCGTATCAGTGTTGTAGGTAGCGCTTGCATCAGAAAGAGCAGTCGCATTTGGTCGTCATCGGTTTAATGATGGAATGAGCACCGTGAGAGACTGAGCAGTGAACGGTAGTCTGAAATGGTCAAAGAAGCATTCAGGCTTGCACCCGCATTGCAAGGAGTAGTACGTGCAGCGGCACAGGCAAAAGGTATTTAGGGTGTCATGGGCCGTGGCAGCAATCGTGAGAGCCGTCATTTTCCGCTGCATCGGCATCTGCAGGAGCATCCTGAAGATACGAATGTTGAAGGCTTGAACATGCCTGCAATTTTTGTTCCCGAAGCACTCAACATGCTGCCGGCCCCGCCCTCTGGAGATTCCAACATCACCCATTCTTCCTGAGATGGCTTCGGATACCTCGTCCCCGGGGTCTTCGGCTGGGCGGCTCGCTTCGAGCTCGCCGACTTCAGCCTCTTGGGAGATGTCAGAGGGGGAGGGCCAGGTTCGAAGGCGGTGAAGTCTGCGTTTTTTTCTGGCTGTCGTGTTCAGAGAGGATCGTTGCCTTCACGCTCCTTTCAATGTGCGAGCCCTTCTCAATGCCGCATTTTTCAGGTACCTCGTCGGTGCGGATGCTGAATCTTACCTATGTCGGCGACTTTATGGGGGCTCATTTGGATACGCTGCTCGGCTTCGATCCGGGATGCCTTGTTGGCCTTGCGTGTTTCTACCGCCCCCCCTCGGTTCCATGGTTCCAGGTTCGGTTCGACCGTCTACTTCATCACGCTCCAGGGCGAATTCGTCGCGGTAGATCTGCCGGATTTCTCTCTCAGCGACGTCTCGGACGGGCAGGTTCCGTCCCAGCCTCTTTTGACCCTTCATTTCTTCCCCAGCTGTTGAGCTCCCCTCTTGCAGTTGGAGACCGAGTACTCGGAGTACTATCCGTCTCTGCTGTACTATCCTTCTGCCATTGCCGGCTGGGGAAGGCCAGCACCGAAATTGAAGAAGCTCTGTCTCTGTGTGCTGTAATTCTTGTGCCAGGCATTCCTTCTTGTGGAGCCTGGGGCCAACGATGCTTTCCCTCGAGTGCGATAACGGGGACACTCGGATGCCCTAAAGCTTGCGAGAGGATGTGAGAGACATAGCAGACATAGCATGACGTAGCGCAGCCTTGACCGGCCACAGGTTGCAGAGACAGGGACACCCAAGACGCCACTTGCTTGCATACTCGCAGACGCTGCGGATATATATATATATATGTATGGATATATATATATATATGGCAATATATGGCGTTCGAGAGGGCACAGCGTCATGTTTGACAAGGCCCTTGCTTTCATGCCCCAAAGACAGCAGCTTGAAGGATAGTCACGTTCGTTATGTACGGCTATGACGATGCCAGCTGGAGAGATTATGCTTGGGCGTTGAGCATGATCGACGGATGCTGGGCTTGGCTTGGATTGGCTAGTTATACCTGCCGCGGCGTTTTGAGATGGATGTTTGTCTCTGAGGAAGATCGCCGGTGTCGATGCATGCGTCTCCTGGTCCCTTCGGCAGCTTGTTGGCCGCAGGGAGTTGTGCTCACTACCCTGTCATTCTGGTTCCAGCTGGCTGTCGACCTTCACGTGTCCGTGTGATGTATGCTAGCTAGTAAAACAAGCATGTGCTGCCGAGGCTGGGTGGGTGAGAACTTTCTTATTGAGCGTGAGAGCGGTCGTGGCCTTAGTGAGTTGAAGCGCATTTTGTCCGTGCCTGTTCTCCTCCGGGGTGTGGTATTTCAGACACTGACCGACACTGGCCATCATCTTTCAGTTCAATGCATGAATGAAGAGTCTGTTTGACACTTCACCTTTCTTGCCAGGTGATGTGGTGCTCAACGTCACATGGCAGGAAGACATGGTTTCCCAGGAGTTCCAGGGCATTGCCGGTGAAACTTTGCACCTCGGACCTCCAAGTTGCATCCGTGTGCATCTGAACAGTTTTCTACCTACAACGCGGGCATCATTAGATGAGCTTGCCGTCATCACGTTGTTTGCTTGGACGAGATGCAAGGTATCTGACAGTGACGCCAGGCTTCTGCGCATCGTTGCATGTGCTTAACCAGACAGAAGCGGGCATGACGAGAGCAGAGAACAGGACAGCTGCTCTCCTCCCATCTGCCCGGGAGGCAACAGCTCTGGCGGCGACGGACGCTGGTGGGTGTCTTGGCCGCCTTGCCTGGTGCTGGACTCCGTGGCCGATAGGGGCCGAGGAGAGCTAGACTGAAGTCGTGTGCGGCCGCTACTTCACCAGAAAGGATTGTTACAGGGGCTTCACACGTACCGGTTTCGGCATCCCTTGTTCAACCGTGTTCAACCCTTCCCTGGTGGCCAAATGCCTGCATAGCAAAGGCGACGTTGGCTGCTTGTGAGTTGCTGCTATCAAATTGTGTTTATAGGAACGATTCACAAGAAACCAGCCTTTTGAACACACAATTCACAAGAGTGCAGAGAGCGGCTGCGGGATGCCGTCCCAGCCTGAGGACATCATCGACGACCACGGCATCGCATATTCTTCGTGGCATCAGCTGCTCCTTGGTGGCAACGGGATCGCAATCGCTTCGGAGTGGACCCATTTCAGCTGTTCAATTCAGAGTCCGGAGAAGCGAGGGACGGCACCCGAACATGGCTGGCCCAGGTATCCTACAAAGCAGCCATTCATGGCGGTAGGCCCGTGGGGGGGGGGGGATTCGGCACACGGCTTCCGGAAGTTAGGTCTGATCGGATGTTTGATGAGGAGCGACGCTGAGAGCTGGAGGAGGCCATTCGGAGAGGGCGAAGTTCGAGGAGTTCTACGTGGAACCGACTGCCACATTGCCTCTCAGTTAAGATCAGCCTGCAGAGAGCGAATGGTGTTTCGGTCTCCAGTAAGCCACTTGGTTCGGCCTGCCTGGACTTGAGGAGCCTGAGCGTGAGCCCAAGAGGCCCCGGCTTTGCAGCGCTCTCTTGGATTTGGGCGTGTCCCAATGTGTCCCAGATCGGGGCTTTGCTGTTGCTTTTGCGTGGCAGTGGCAGCTCTGGCATTGCTCCCGCATGGCAGCTGCATGCCATGATCCCTAGCAGGTGACACCAATGGAACGAACATAGCCTGGGCACCTTGGCTGTGGTGTCAGTGGGCATCGAACCTCTGGTTGAGACCATGTTCTGTCGAAGTTCTGGACGACCATCCTGGTCAGCTTTGTGGTGAGTAGGTTCGGACAGATGGGCGTCAAGCGTAGACGCAGCCGAGCACGACTGCGTGAGCAAAATGGCTGCTAAGGTGTTGTACGACGTGAACATGGATGCTATCATGCGATCCGGCGACGAGATCTGGGACACTCCGTTTTGTTTGTATGTTTTGCACTTCGTGGATGCGCGTGAGGGTCAACTGCCTCTTGTGAGGCGGATGCTCTAACTCTTTTGCGCTAGGCGTGTGCAGGGTGAAGTCTAGGCACACTTTTCTTCACGAGCTGGATGATCCCAGGAGAAGTTTCCGCGGAACGCAATTTTCAGTCCTCGCCGCCTGCTTGCATTCTGTGCAAAGGCAGTCCCAATCCTTCATCTCGTGAGCCGCTGGCCAGACTGTTGGAGTTTCGAGGCCCCTTCGTCGAAGAGACAGGTCCAGGCCGTGAGCCCGAAGTTTCAACCGAAGCTAACGGGACGCTGAGGGGCTTGCTGCTGGGCAGGCACCACCTCGTCTGGGCCTCACTGAGCAGCTGCCAGACGAGATGGATCTGCCAAGACCTGTTGAAACTTAGACAGCTTAGATGCAAATACCGGTGCTTGAGTCTGGCTCGACAGGTCCTCGCAGACCGCAACTGTCACCTTGTCCTCTACAAGCCCTTCCTCTGCAGACAGACGAATCGGGCTTTAAGATCAGACCACTAGCATGGCCTTGCGAGCACTGGGTCGAAGAGAGCCTAGCAGAGCTCACAGGAGCCAGCTCTTCGAAGTCATGGAGAGCCTGTAGCTCTTCAACTTAAGAAGATCAACTTAGCTTGCCTTTAGCCATCTGAGCCAAGGTTCCTCAACGTTGTGGCCTCATTTGTCGGATCTGCTCACTGCAGCTGCAAGATTTGACTGTTTCTGCTGAGTCGAGCCGAGCCTGTACGTCAACGAGACACCCCGTGCCAAGGTCAGCCACGAGAACCTCAGCAACTGCATTCCCGCCGCAGCAAGTTAGGATGGACGGGGCCTAGTTGCCGAGGTTGGGCCCTGCGGGGCTCTTTGCCGGGCCTTGAGACAGCTTCGGAAATGCCGACGTTCTTAGTTGCGGGCTCTTTGCAGACTTTTGCCCAGTTTCGGAGAAATGCCAGCTGTATGGAAGTCAGCAGCAGAGGGTCTTACGTCAGCTGCTTTAGGTGACATCCACGACAACAGCCTCAGCAACCGCATCCCGTCGCAGTTAGCTGGGATAGTTGCGGGCTCTTTGCAGACTTTTGCCCAGTTTCGGAAATGCCAGCTGTATGGAAGTCAGCAGAGGGTCTTATGTCAGCTGCTTTAGGTGACATCCACGACAACAGCCTCAGCAACCGCATCCCGTCGCAGTTAGCTGGGATAGTTGCGGGCTCTTTGCACACTTTTGCCCAGTTTCGGAAATGCCAGCTGTATGGAAGTCAGCAGCAGAGGGTCTTATGTCAGCTGCTTTAGGTGACATCCACGATCACGACCTTGACCATCGCATCCTGCCGCAGCTAATGAGGATGGACAGGTCTTAGTTGTTGAGGTTGGGTCCTGCAGTGCTCTTTGCAGGACCTTTGGCCAGTTTCGGAAATTCGATTGTATGAAAGTCACCAGCAGGTCTTACGTCAATGCCTGTAGGTGACATCTACGACAACCGCCTCATCAACCGCATCCTTGCCGCAGCTAGATAGGATGGACAGGGCTTCGTTGCCGAGGTTGGGCCCGCGGGAAGAAGTTTTTGCCGGGCCTTGACACAGTTCGGAAATGCCGATGTAACAGTATGGAAGTCAGCAGCAGATCCTGTGTGAACGGCTTTAGGTGACATCTACGACAACGGCCTCAGCAACCGCATCCCCACTGCAGCTAACGGGGATGGACAGGTCTTAGTTGCCAAGGTTGGGCCCCGCGGAGGCTCTTGAAAACATCTAGACAATTGCGGGACATGCCGATGCTTAGAAGTCCCCAGCAGATCCAATGTGAACGTCACTAGGTGACATCCACGACCACGACCTCGACCTTCACAACCGCATCCTGACGCATTCGATTAGGATTGACAGGTCTCAGCTTGGGCTTGGCTGCAGAGATCCGGGCATGCAGGGAACTTGCTGGGCCGATGTACCGATGTGCGGTCAGCAGAACCATCAGAAGCAAGGCTACGTGAGTGACCACAGGTGACCAACACGACCAGCACTGTCTCGACAGCCATGGGCTTACTTTGGCAGGAAGCTGACTGAGCCTTGATGAGCCTTGCTGCCGGGTCTTGAAGTCTTCTGGCTCAGGCGACGACATCAAGCACCACGACTTTTTCTTCCACGTCGACGTCCTCCACGTCGTCGTCCACAACCTCCTCATCCACGACATTGTCGTCCACGACGTTGTCGTCAACAACAGTGTCTTCCACTACATCATCATCCACGACGCTTTCGATCACAAGTACTACAACTTCCACAACTTTGTTGCGCAGCTGTTACAGAGTGTTGTCTTGGAATTTCCTATTTCAATTTCAATATGCTAAGCTGCTGTGCTGTGCTTAGTGGCAACTAGTAGATAGCCAGGAAGAATGACTTCGCGCTGCCATCAACGGTGCGTGAGGACTCGCCCGAGGGCGCTGTCGTTGCGGTGCCTCATCTTGTTTGGGGCTGGGAGGATCCAACAGGCAACAACCCTCGATGTCTCAATTAATCTTTCAAGTTTCTGCCGCCCGTGCTGAGCGCTTCTTCAAACGTGCGACCACGCAAGACCAAGAACATGAGTGCCCCGATTTTCTAAGTTCACGGCTTTCCCAGACCGAAAACAACATGGGTTGTTGAATTCAGTAGTGACTTGCAGTTTGCCACGCAGCTGGCTGGCTGAGGGGCTCGTTTTCTTGAGCAACGGTTTCCGAAGAAGTGCCTTTTATCGTCAAAACGGGGACCTTGGTTTGTTTCCGTCAAAAGGGTGCTTTTTATTGGGTGGTTTCATCCGAGGCTGCGTTGGAGTCCGTGTTGCTCGCCACGAAGTCCTCGGAAGGGTCTGTCACATCGTCGACGCCAAGTGGGAACGTGACTCGGCTTTGCGCTGGGACCGCTGGGAGATCAGACCTTTTTCGACATCACAAAGCAAGGTGACTGTGGTCAAGCTGAGTGGTTCTGCAGCTAACTCCAGCACGCCAGACCAGAACCGCATGGCGGCTTGGCATGGCTGTAATCGTGTCAAGAGTCTACCTGGCTGCAAGCCGTGGCCGAATGTTTCCTTCACTGTGAAGGTGCTGCAAATCAACAACGGCAACGCCGGAGCTGCTGGCACGGGCAACGACGGGTCATTGTCTACAGTGGCTGTGCCCTGCTGATGATATATTTCCTCGACAGCACCGCGTTCAGTTTGAGTTGGCACTAAGTGTTCCCTAAGCTCCATATTGAACTGAAGCCTCATTGACTCATCGCAGCAGCTTTGCAGTCCCAGTGCTGTGAGCATCTCTGAGGTTTCCGTGCCCTTGGCGGTAGCAGCCTGGCTGGGAAGTGGTTCGGGCTTGGAGTGTCGGGAAACCCTGCGAGAAACGAGTTGGGGCGGTCCTCTGAAAGCCTAGGGCTTCGGACAGCTTTGCTCCAAGCTACTTGTAAGTAGTTTGAGATGCTGCCGTGATGCCTGCTTCTGCCCAGTTCTTCCCTCCGCGTAAGTCGCTTGAGCTACTATAGTCTATAGGCAATATCGGTAAGAAGTAAAGATGCAGGACACATCCCTGAGCCTAGGTGGAGGACCTGGCGCAGGGACAGAACGTGCTGTTGTCGGTCATGACAATTGCAGAGGCTCGCAGTGCTCGCAGTAGGAGGTGCATCGTGGCTTCCTCCAGCCAGGAGGTGTCCCTCACACTGCCAAATGCAAACACCGAACGCGAGACTGCCGGAGGCCCAGTGAAACTGCCGGAGGCCTCGGAGTCTCTGAGTCGCCGAGGTCGAGCTCACTTCCAAGGTCATGGAGCTGTCGCTGGTCCTGGACCGCGCAGCCACATCAGCAGAGGGCGTGAGCGCTGAGCACTCGTTCGGAGGGCCGAAGGGCGACGTGCGACGAAGCCCTCACAAGAAGATGACGCGCGTTAAGCCCAAGCACGCCCAAAGCGAAGTCAGCTCGAGAGCGTCATGTCTGAGCCGAAGGACCCCCTTGAAAGGGCGAAGCCTAGAGCTGTGTGCAGGAAGCCGGGGGCGCCGTCACCGTGGCAAATGTGTCGGACCTGACCGAGCCCATCGCCTTTCGCTCCTCGCTCTTCTGGTTGGACATGTATGTGCTTGTGAGTCATAGCTCTGTTAGTGCCTGTTCGTGGCCAGCGGCCTGAGCTTTGCAATTTGCTGTGCTTAGAACTCACTGCTGGCGAAGCAGTCCCGGGAGACCAATGTGCTTTCTTCGATCCAGCTGCTCGGATTGAGAGCTAGCCGTCTGGCTCCGAGCGGAACAAGCTTGCTGTGCCTCACATTGTTTGCCCATGCCGTCATGTGACCCAAGTGGAGAACGGTGAGTTCCTTCGCGCCAGTCCAGGTTTCACAGACATGGTCTACGAAGGGCATGGGGAATATGGACGCAGAAACGTTCGCGGCGCTGCTTAGCAGAATGCTTGCCTTCCATGTTAACGGGTTTCCAAGGCTTTTGCACACTTATGCATTGCTTTTTGGAGCGTGGACGTCTGAATGGCCGCACCATGCTGCACGCCGCAATCGTGTGTGTTGAGGCTGGGGCTGGGGAGCACGCCAGGCACTTGGAAGTGAAACCACAGGAGGGAACACGTCGCGAGACCCACCTGCGCAGAGTAGCTGGATAATGCAAGAGTCTCTCAGCCTGTTGTGACTGTGTAGATTGTGTAGACAGCGTAGACCCCGTAGGCTTGCAGGGTTTGAGCGTGTTTACCCGCATTCGCAATGTTTCCAAGGATGAACGGAACTTGGTGTCTGACCACCCACACCTCCATGTTTGCGCTTGTCCGGGACTTGGAGACCACTGTTGATGCTCTTTCTCTGAGCTTACTCGGTGTGGCACTAAGCCCTAGACATCCCCGCGAGCTCCCACACCTTTCAGAGTCGCCGAGAGGTCCAGATCATCCCCTTTGAGTCCATGTGGGACCCAGAGGCGTCGAGAAAGCGTCTGGGGTTCGAACGTATGCGAATGTGAAGCCAATTCCGCCTCTAGGCAGGTGCCCTGAACGCTAATGGTTACATCGTCGCCGGCGCCTTTGTGCCGCTTTTCTGCAGGTGTGCCGTTAAGAGGCCATGAAGGCACTGGGCAGCGACACGAGGATGCAACGGATCTAAGGGCCTTGGTGGTGTGTCTCATGCTTTGCTTCGCTCCTCGGCGCAGCGGCCAGTCCTGTGTGTTGGACTAAAGCTCTGAGAGTCGTCTCACCTCAAGCCCCCGAGCCCCAAGTTAAGAAAACCCAACAGAGGCTCCAAAGCCGGCTAAATATAGGCTGGGAAGACTCTTTTCTGCCGTGGCTCAAGCTGATGGATCAAGTCGTCACTGGGCTCCGTTTAGTTCAGGGCGCTGTGTTCTCGAACTTTTGGGGTCTGGGTTGCCCGGTATACTGTACCCAGCCTTCCTTCGCCCTGCTCCTCCTGACTTTGCTGATTGGCCTCCTCACAGGGTTTGGATTGGCCCTTTACCTCGTGTTTCGCTTGGGGTTCCTGCGTGCCTCCAGTGCCGCCGATCCTTTCGTGTCTCCAGCAAGGGCCCGCCTCCAGGGCTACGCGTATGCAAGGCAGTGAAGGCCGGACTTCACTGTTGTTGGAAATCGGTGGCTGCTCCATCGCCATTGAGGGTCCATTGGACTCGGCCCTCCCCCTGCTGGAATACCTTCGTGCCTACCAGCCTGGGACCTCTTGGGGTTACCCTAACGGTTTAGGCCCTTCCCCTAGGACCCCTAGTCGCAGCCAGACCTCCGTGCCCAGCCTTGGCCCTCTAAGGTTTAGTCCCCAGCAACCTGTGCCTGCATCCGGCCCCTGCCTTCCGGTTTCGCCGGCCCCTTGTGCACAAAGCCGCTCTAGCCCTTCAGCCTCTTCCAGGGCCGCTCCTCGCGAACCCGACTCCCAGACAGGCCCTGCTGCTCCGGACCCCTTGCCGGGCACTTCGCCCCGACCGGAGGAGACGATCTCCAGGTCCAGCCTTGAGTCTTCCCTACCAGTCTGCCCTGCTGATTGGCTTGCAAAAGGTACCGCCCTGACTGCTGCAGGCTCCTTGACCGGAAAGGAGCGCCTACGCCGAGCCTGGAGAGCTGGAGCGTGGGCAAAGCTGGTCTTAGCTGGCACTGTGGGGACACCCAACTCTTCCCCTCCCCTGAACTTGCCCTCGCGCTTCTACGTTGTGCTGGGCGGGGAAGGCCACGAGCCAGGCCTCTACTGAAGCTTTCGTGATTTCGCCCAGGCTGCGGGCCCCTTCCCGGGCTCAACTGCTGTGTGCCACGGCTTCCCATCGGAGCTGGAAGCAAGGGCCTACACTTGTGCTGCTGGTTTGCTATGGCCTCCTTCTTCAGCCTAGAAGACCTCACCCCCTACCATGTGACGAGGCAGCTGATGGTTTACGAGCATCCCTCCCACGACGGGGACGGCATAACCGAGTGCTTGGCAGCTGTTGTGTTGAAGAGGGACCTGGGATTCCTGCTAGCCCTCCCTCGGGGAGTGCTGGACGATGCCGAGGTGGCCCAAGGCCTGGTTGCACCAGTGGATGCATTGCTGGGGCCCACTCACCCCTCAGAGGTGCCGAGCATGCTGCAGTCTCCTTCTGGCCTTGTGGCAGGAGATGGTCGGCCTGTGCAATTCACACTTGCCGACCTTTCGGTCGATGCTCTCAGCCGACTCAGCCCCTACGATCCCGAGGAGCCTCCGGAGCTTATGGTTGCTTTCGACGCGGGGTCGCCAGACCTTGTGCCCGAGCCGGCTGCCCTGCTATCTGCCGCCCAGGCCTGGGTTGCAGATCCCGACATGGCTGCTTCCGAAAGGGTGACCTTTTACTCTGCCGACGAGGCCCCAGTAGGGGCCCAAGCCTCAGAGCCAAAGAAGCCGCGACCGGTGCTCCACCTTTCTCGGCCAAAGCTGCAAGCTCCTCCGCCGCGGGCCGCCACTGGAGGCGCCGAGCCAGGGCCCGGGCAACAGCACGAGAAGCCGAAAAGGACGACCATGGCGGGGCTAGCAGCACAGCTGGACACACTGGTTGCCACTCTGCCCGCCATCTCCAACAAGCTGGCCGAGGTCGACCAGAAGCAACAGGAGCTGGCAACAATGGTGACATCCGGGGCGGCTGCCCCTTTGAAGCAGCCCTTGAGCACAGCCTCGGCCCTGGGAGCCGGTTCAAAACCTGCAGGCCCGCTAGCTTTGACGATAGGGCCCCCTCCGGGCTCTCGCCACCCGCCGCCGGGCCCTCCTGGAAAGGCCGCCGAGGAGACAGCCGACCTGGAGGAGGCGATCGAGGAGGCCGACCCAGGCGATCATTTGGCCCGTGCTATGCTTGCCCAGTCTCAAGCCCTGACTTCTTTGGTGCAGCAGCTGGCGGCAGCCGGCGGGGATGGTTCACTAGAGTCAGGCGTTGTTGGGTCCCTAGGCGTTCGGGGCTCGGCCCAACGAGCCCGTTTGCAGGAGGACCTTGCGCAAGGCCGTGGCTTGTTTTACCAGCAGGTGTGCGCAAACATGGCCCGCAGAATGATGCCCTCCCAGCAGCCAGGGGCCAGCCAAACCGAGCTGGTGAGTCAGGGAATCTCTCTGACCCGCTATTGGGAGAGATTCGGAGGATGGTCAGGTTCCAGGGACCTGGGCCTCCTGGCCTTCCAGGTGGGCCTCATCTTCGACGCCCTGCTGAACGATCGTGTGCAGCTTGCAAAGGACCACCTAGCATTGCTAGCAGTGTGCTTGGAGCAGGCAGCAATGGACGGGGGCAGGATGGAGGTGGCCTACCAGATGACTTTCCTGGAGGACCCCCCATCCTCCATGTTCATGGCGCGCGCGGGCCCATCAGCGCGCAGCCGGGCATTCGCCCCGTTGGCATCGCAAAGGTGGGTGTCGGTGATCCTGACCCACCTCCGAGAGCTCGACACCATTCAGGCCAGGCGGGGCGAGCAGACAAGACCAAAAGGGCAAGCCGCGCAGGACACAGCCAGCGAGAGCGCCGACTCTCCTCCCCGGCGCCGGCCTCCAAAGAAAAAGCCGCCTGGTGCCCAATGAGGCCCAGGAGTTTACGACAGCTGGCCAGCCAGCCGACGACGCCTGACTACGGCACCGCTCTTCGAGACGAAGCGGCCAAATCCTTCAGCACAACGACCACTTTTGGAGATTGGGCTGCTGCCTTACCGAGGTGGCTCCTGAGATCTCGCACGCCATTCTCGGCCTACTTGGCCCGGACTTTTCAGCAACCTGCTAGCCGCTGCGGCCTTGCCCCAGCCACCGCAACCTTTCCGCTGCCGTGCCCTCGCTTGGGCCTTTTTAGCAGCACCGCCCATAGCCTGCCTCGTGCCCAGAAGCAGCGTTTGTACTTGCGCCGCGTTGTTCACATCGTGGTGGCCGCCCTCAATTTTGTGCATGACGGCGCCCGCTGGGCCCCTTGGCACCTGCTCTGGAGGGAACCGAATGCGACTCAAGTGGCGTGTTTCAAGCGCATTCGGGCCTTCGTTGTTGCGTGTTTTTCCCGGAAGGAGGAGTTCCCACTCCCACCGGGTCGTTCCGGACCAGACCTGGTCGCTCGACTTTTGGAGCTCGAAGCTTTTGCCAGTGCCTTTGCGAATTTGGGCTCTAGCTGTGCCACGGACCTCCTTGCCAACTTTGGCCCTGTCCCTGGTGTGCCGCCCTCCGCCGACCTGCCTCAGCTGCAACCTTACCGGTCGCTCGACGTGTCTCGGCTTCGCCTTCATGGCTCTGGTGCGTGGCAGATCGCTCCTTTCCTTGAGGGTTCGCTCTGGCTGCCTTTTCTAGAGCCGGGCATCCTTCGGCACGGCCTCCCTCTGGGAGCCGAGGACTTACCTGACTTTGAGAAAGAAGATGCCGATGAGCATCTCAAATTGGCCCTCCTTTGGGATGCAAAAGGCCTTTTGCAACTCGTCCCCCCTCTTCCGCTTGGGGACACCTTCCAGCGTAGCTGCCGAATTTTCAATAGCTACAAGTCACCAGATGCCGACCGCCAGATCGGAGACCGGAGGCCAGCCAACCGGGCTGAACTTCATTTGACAGGACCGTCACAGCAGCTGCCTCAAGGCAGCCTTCTCACCGCTTACCGCCTCCCCCGAAGGAAGGCCCAGCTCACCGCTTTTGTGACGGACAGGCGGGACTTCTACCACCAGGTTGCTGTGACGGGGGCCCGGGCCAACTGCAACCGGCTCCCCTTCGCATACCCAGCTGTGGCCTTTAAGGGAACTGCTGCCTTGGCCGCCTTTGAAGCAGGGAGGGAGACCGAAATCCGAGACAGGCCCGACCGGCCCAGCCTGCTTGTGCCAACGACCTATGTGCCCGCCTTCCGGTCCTTGCTCCAGGGTGACCAC